GCCAAATCGATTAGTGAGGCTGTTAATCTTTATTGAATAAGTTAGTTGGGATGTATATCGCATATCCCCAACGGTTACTTTCCTTGATGCTAGTTTATGAGCAGACTGAAAGCTAGAGGTGGACAAGCCAAAACGTGGGATCAGTTCATGGAGTCATGGATTTCTGGGTTAAGCCATATTAGTAGTTCCACACTGCCAGGTTGGTGTTCTCGTAGCCAGTGAAGGCTTTGGTTGACATGACTCACAATGGCGTTTATGCATTCACTATTTCTCTTCCTTTAGATTTTGAGTTTTTTATTAATTACCTCATACTCTTTACTCTGCGAATTCACTCATTTTGCTCGAATCATAGTGTTACGTCTAATATTTTCTGTCATCACACATGTACCGAGTTGATGATTAGGCAGTGGTTTAATGGTTAAGACGTTCGGCATTCAACATTTATGTAACAGGTTAGAGTCCTGATTTACTTAATTCAGTACCACTAACCCTCACATATAAAGCGTGGTTTAAATCTGAGTAAATAAATTTTTACTTGGCAAGTAATTAACATCATTATCACCATTGAAGAATCATATCGACCAGTGATGTCAGGCGTTATATGGAATTTTGATTTCATATTTAACAAAACTTATCAGTATTACACATGTTTGAAATTTATATGAATTACAAAGCACTTTAATGTGACTACAAAAAGCAGAATTTCTGAAAATGTGCTAATGTACAATTTGATGAAATCTGAAATTAATTAAAGGAATATACAACGAAATTCTAAGTTTCGCATATCACGCTTCTTCTACGAAGGAGATGGAAATTAAAAAAATACCCTAAACATAATCTAGGGAGATTGCTTCAACCTGTAGATTAAGATTTACACTAATTGAGTAGACCTATCAGATACAATATAACAAAATGTGTTATATCCTAGCGAGGATTAAATTACAAGTAACTTTTGAGATCTATTAATGGACTAATATTATCTATATATTCTTAGTGGTATAACTATTCAGTAATTAGATTATATATATCTATATTCACCTTATTATAAGCTTCATTTTGACATATAGATTATTATTGTACGATTTACTGTTCTTAAGTTATGTTCAGTTTATTGATTACAGTTTCCCACGTTCACAGCCACTTTTGGCTCTTTTGTATAAATGTTATTTCCCATTTTATGGTGCGATGTGGTCTGTTTGGCTGGTATATAGACCAAGCATGTTTGAAACAAATGATTCGCATAGTGGAAGCTGTTATTGGTGTTCTGGACTCAACTGGATGGGCTAGGCTGATCATACCGGTCGAATGTCATTGGTTTAATACAGTACAAGAGTGAATAAGCCGAATTTTGATTGGCGAATAAATTACGTGATAACTAGCCGGACTTGAATTCAAAACAAAATGATTCATGTTCAGTGAAAACATAACTGAGTTTTACTGTCTAATGATCGATATTTGAGAAAACGGTGTAAATAAAACGTTTTACCTAACACAAATTTTGTGCATTTATGTCATTTGGAAATTGAGCCTTTATCGCTTTTACATTTCTTCCGGAGTCTAGCGGTTACAAGTTCAAAACCTATTCTAACCTCTTAAATTTTGTAATGTGGAGTAATATTATGACTTTCAAGCGAAAAAAGTATCACAACCATTAACTAAACTTAAATTGTACTCGTCATTCCCTTTTTGCATATCACAAATCAATGATACCATACTAAATCTGACTTTACGTAGTCTTTTCGATTTTTTTTTAGTGCTGGAGTTGGTCGAACTGGAACATTTATTAGTGCTCTTATTGTTCGCAGACATCTTCGATCTGGCTGTCAATGGATTAGTTTACCAAGTATTGTTTTAATGCTGAGACTCTGGCGCCACTGTATGGTTGAACTGACAGTGAGTTTTTTGCAGCTGATTTACTGATATGACTCATTTAAAGCAAACATCAGTATAAACACAAACTTTTAAACTGAGGAAGTTGAATTTTTCAGTGAAAATCAAACTTAAAAAATAATGAGATGAGTTTGGTTATACTTAAATTCATTCAGATGTACAGGTTTCTAGGCTACATTAAGAAGTAACAATATAAACAACCGGTTTCACTTTTGTATATGTGTACTGCAGAGACATATGTTGGAACTTACCTTACTAGGTAATTCAATTCATAATTTAAAAACATTATTGACAATAAAAGCGAGAAAGTCACATTTTCAATTCACGTCAACACTAATCATAGATCATGTATGCTAAGATTTGCACTAACGTGTTGTAAAACAAGCAGGATATTTCACAGAATAATAGACTTTTACAAAACATCTCAGTAAAACCATAGTCAAACTAGAGATACGAAGTACGGTTTCGCCCTATCAGGATATTAATCGGTGCTTTAATATAGTCTCAAAGTTTTTTCAAAATCCCTCACTAAATTTAGTCTACTGTAGTATTTGTGCTGATAACCTTAAAGCATTATTGACTTAAACAATGACGGATCAGTCGAATGAAATCCTCGAAAAAAAATTAGTTGATCACAGCCGATGCAACTCGGAATGGATCTTAGGTACGAAAATTCATCGTCTTTCTACTGTTTTATGCCTTAATTTTCTTGAATAATTCCGGACCTATGTACACAGTTCTGTTTAGTGAAGACGCTGAAAAAACTGGGCATTCTGACCACCTTAAAGTAACAATGCAAGCATGTTTAGGATGCGATTTTTCCATGTGAATAAAAAATTTTTGTTCCAGGACTGGTATGCGTCAATCCCTGAACTAAAGATATGGAGTGAAGCAGATGAGCTCGTCGATCACTTATCTTGGACGTCTCACCAGCCCTAGTAGGTTAGTGTCTAACCAAATCTCACGACGGGTTCAGTAAGCTCGCTTGGTTTTTGTCAACTCGCATTACCTATGGCGTAGGCGATATGTCTATCTACCGGTCAAGGGACGAGTATACCGCACAGTAGCTCGTTTTATTTTAATTTATATCTAAAAAAAGGTAACTAGTAATTAATCTTTAGTTGGTTTGGAAGCATTACTCGACTGATCAATTAAGAAGTTCGATTTAACATTGTCTCACAATTAGTCATATAAAAGACATCCCTAAAAATGATTTATATACTACACTAACCAGTTAGTTGTTTTAGTATCGATAAAAGTAAGTATGAAGGAGAATGAAATGATATTGATGAAGTTTTGTTCTCTGAGCTGGATAGTTTGGTCTTGGATCTTTCATCGTTCTTTTGAACGATATCATCAGCACAAACTCCAGGTAGAAATGAATGGAATAAAACTTCAATACTAATAATGACATTTTTTTACTTTGAAGGAACAATATCTATTTCTACATGAATATTTCGCATATATTTTGAATCAAGAAAGATATTGCTAACATAAAATTCTAACCAACTAATTGAGGAATGATTATTCTATGTCTTAAACAACAAACGATGAATATACTATTGTCCAAGTATGAACTGGTCAGTCAGTCAGTAACAACGTAGAACTGGTAATTTCAATTGGTTACATTGATTACATTTTCCCACGTTAAAAACAAGCCATTCTGTATTGATCAAGATTTTCTTTCTCAAAATATTCATTACAAGTTTTTGTATATAATTTAATTCTTACATTTATTATTGTTTACAATATACAGTATGTTGTTTTAAAAACGAAATACTTTTTTTTAGTTTGAAGAAGTTTTACTATACAAAACAACTGATTCACATTCAGTGAACTGAATAAAAACCCAACTTAGCATCAATAAGATGTGGGGTTATATTTCTGGATGGTCTGTTTGTGGTCAAAGTTTATCTTCAAAGATTTTTTTGCTTACAGAATGATGTATTGATATACCTATCGACTCACAACAGTAGTTGTATTTCTCAACCTTGATGTACCATTTGATTCTGTAGACCGATAGGTTGTATGGAAGTTTATGTCATTGAAAGACCTACTGAAGAAATACATCAATCTTTCTACAGGCCCTCTATTCAAACAGTACCGGTTGAGTTAGAGCCTATGGCGAACGATCATTAGAATTATCAAACTCAAGAAGTGTTCGTCAGGGTTGTCTGCTTTCCTCATTTTTATCCAGATTTGTCATAGGCATTTTCTAGAGATAAAATTCACCGTCCGATTTATCAGGGATTGATTTACTAGAAAATTCTATTGTTAACTTAGAATACGCAGATGATGTAGTTTCATTCCGTGAAGACGCTGAAAAGCGTTTTGACCGCCTTAACCAAGAATCCTAGCATGTTTGGGATGCGTTTCTCTCCCTCCAGACGCAAAATATTGTTTTAGGACCGGTATGCGTCAATGCCTGAACTAAGGATACGGAGTAAAGAAGTTGAGTTCGTCTGTCACTTTACTTATTTTGGAAATCTCATCACCTTAAGTGGGTTGGTGCATGACGAGATCTTGAGATAAATTCAGAAATTTCGATTGGCTTTTGCCAAATTATGCCACTTGCCGTATATATGAGATATTCGTTCGCCAACTAAAAGGTCTCATTGTGCAGCAGTTCGCTCTATATTATTTTATGGGTGTGAAATATGACCATTAAGAATAGAGGATATTCGTAGATAACTAGTATTCGACTATGAGTGTTTTCTAAACATTGTTGGCGCGTTTTGGGACCAGTGGGTAAGCAAAGCCGGGATTCGGAAAAGGGTACTAGGTAGGTATGCCAAACAAATTGACAATGTAATGAATCTTTGTCAGTCGAAACATGTGTTATATATGCTCATCTACCGACCACCTTGAAGCGCGAGGATGGCTAATGTAGTAGGTTGGAATACATCTAGATGCAGCCAAATCGACATGGCATCACTAACTGTTAGGCTGAGCCATAATAACAAGCGTAGACTACCTAGATGGGGTCCACATGATTATCGTAACCAGATGGAAGAGAACGCAATTGTCTTAAAGTTAGCTATAATTCATATTCATTCGGAATACTGTTTTAAATGAGAATTTGAATCTGTCATTACAAAAACAAGCGTGAGGGAATCGAAAATCCAGTGTTATATTGATAAATGAACAAATCAACAAAGTAACATACACTTTTTGGTTATACACACATTAATGACTGAGAAATGAGCGGTTAATAAAACGTATTGTAAAACACCTAACTTCTGGTATATCTTTTTAACGTAAACTAACGCTGAAATCAACTGGTCTTCTAGATTGAACGCTACCAGATGAACTAACGTTGAACAAAGCTTTGCGAACAACATCTGCATCTACTTCGACCGGAATGCCTGATTTGTTCAGAGACTCACGAATAACTTGTTTAGCCTGCGTTTCAGTTTGTTTCCTGAGAAGTTAATTACAAAGAAATATGGAGAATGATAACTAAATAGATATAGGGAAATAATATACATCTATTAACGATTTCTGATTTGCAGAATATACAAGCATATAACAAAGTGTATAGAGAAAAATTCAAAATTACAAAACATTAATGGATTAACCTTCCATAATTTGGTCCGAGTCTTGAGGCCATGCGAGCAGAAGTGTCACGTTCACTGGGTAAATCACTAACTGGTGTAGTAAGGCTTACACGCATTGGACGGCCATCTAGTTCACGACCATTATAACGTTCAATAGCTTCAAGCGCATCTGAAGAATGATTATAAATTACTTCTGCCTGGCCAGGACGTGTAACAGTACACAGACGTAAACTTCCAACGCTGCTAAATAGCTCCTACAAGAAAAAGGAGTATCAAATTAATTTTTATATTTGGATAAAATATTCATATTCTATAACTAGTACTGCTTACTTTAACGAATGATTAAAAGGGCATAAAATGATGCTATTTTGGCTTCCTCATCAAATAGCAGAAAAAGTGTGGCAACACATAAAAAGAGCAGTGTATTGAGTTGCTTGATCTTTAAGACAGACATTTGTTGGCTTAAAGTACTTGGTCATATATGCTGCTCAAGTATATATATATATATATATATATATATATATATATATATATATATATATATATATATATATATATATATATATATATATATATATATAGATATAGATATAAGTAGTGTCGCAGGAATAGAAGGTGGGATGCTTACTAACAGAAGATAGATATGAAGAGAACAGGAAGGAGAACGGAGAGCATCAGAATAACAACAGAATCATAATGATGGAGTATGTAAAGGATAACTGAAGGAAGATGGGCAAATGATGTATTTAGTGTATGATTTTCATGCTTCACAAAGGTACTGCGATTACGCACAATAATATAGTGGTTTTCCCGCCATGTCTTTCTTTACAAATCAAGTGACTTGTGTGGTGCATATGTATTCAGTGCCTATTTGTACCAATATTTATGTGTTCAAATAAATAAATGTTCACTACAGTAATATCCATGTTGGTAAATGTAAATGATACACGTGAAAATCGTAGTCGGTGGGTGAAGATGTGAGTGACACGCCTCAGAATCGGTCACGATGGTCCAGACTCACTTACTTAATATCTCGCTCTGTATTCGCAGTCCCAAAACTTCATGTACACCTTTTCATTGTCTTTCCGAATCATATTCTTAATGTCTAGCTGGGTTATTTTGATTCCTTTGTTATTCGTCTTGTTAACTTTCTCGTTGTGCTTATGAAGTATGGGAACTTTAGCCGACGCACTTATATAGCAGTCTCAACGTTGATTATGACTGTCCATCAGTATAGAGTCTGGCACAGATGTGCATTGACCCAAATTGTTATACCACAGTAACACAGAGAGACGAATGTAACAAGTATAGTCGCACGAGATCGAAATAATATAATACCAATAATAATAAGAAAGAATAAACATAGGAAATATGGCTCAGAAAGACGGAGTGAAAAGGTAAATACAAAGGAACCCAAGATCGAGAGAAAGAGTGAATACATATGCACCATTGAGAACTACCCCGAGCTGTGACCGTGGTTAGTGAACGGTGAAAATACTAGAAGAATACTACGAAGTAACAGGCATCCAGTGCTTCCAGGTTTTCAGTAGTTGTATAACTTGGAAAGGTTTGTGATCCCAATAAAAACACTAAAATACTTCGTACTTCAAAACTAAAATACAAGACTGGTTTTTTTCACTGTGAAATTCAACAATTGATAGTGAAGCAATTCCAGAAGCCGGTCACTCTACTCACTCTTTAAGCTTCATTACCTCCGATGACTTGGTGGCTGAAAAAATCTCGACACGGATTTGAAAACCTCCCTAGGCTTTTGTCAGTATACACCACCTGTAAGAGAGGCGAAATGTTCATCTGTTTTCCAGAGTATACGGAGCGGTAGTTCATTCTGTACCACTTTATGACAGTTAAATAGTGTATATTTAGGTTGAATACATGGGTAGGTAGTTTTATATGTTGAAGATAGACGGCTTCTTAGGATTCGTAGTGCATAATGGCATGACTGAATGAGCAATGATGCAGCTGAGATTACTAGGTAAGGATGGCAAATCATTTGATGAGGCTATCAAACTTTTTCGACTAAAGGATTTGGGACATTTGATAAGCATATCTAGTCACCTGGTAGCTGATTCGTTGGGGGTAGAAATAGGTTGGATAAATGCTAAAAGTGGGCAAAACAAAATATGTTTTGAGTCGTAAAGTGTTTTTGAGATAGTAGGAATTCAGAAATTAGACTGACCACAATGGCAAAGATGCATTCACGAATGAAAACGTGAGAAGCATGCACCTTGGGAGAAGTTTCATGCTATATGTGTTTGAAATACACAGTATCATCTTTGTATAAATATAAAGTTATTTATTTAACAGTTCGGAAACATGGGGTTTTAAGATGAAAAGTACCTATACAGCATTATATATTTATAACGGTCACCTATTCTGTAATCTTCAGAATTATCATGCTCTGATGTTTTGCTTTCCCCGGATCATTTCAACTAAGGAATAAGTCTGTCGTCTTCAGAAACTGTTTGTGTTCGTGCGATTCACGGGATCAAGTAGTCAGTATCAATTATCTGCCGCTACAACTGACAGAATTGTCTATAACTTCATAACTGTTCAGGTGTTTTTGGAGGGTGAAATAAATCCCTTTTTTTGCTTAGTTGTGTCGTGTGAATTGGCATAATTTAGTTTCAAGTGCTAAATTAGTCCTTATAGTTACAATAGTTCAACAAATGCTTGATTTTAGGAAAAACCAAGAGCTGTGAATAAGCACTAACAGTTCATGAATCTCAAATGAAAAATGGAAGCTTATTATTATTTAAATAATGATATCAGTTATGATCAAGTCAAAAATCATGTCTATCACGTCATAAAGATAATCATAACTTCTGCAATACCCCAAAACTATCACACGTAACTAACTAGATTATAAAACAACGAAATTTAACTTACGAATACATCATCTAGCGTGACGGACGGCTGAAGGTTACGAATTTCCACACGGAAACCTTGTATTGGACTAATCTTAGGTCCTGATGAAGAAGCAGACACTGGAACTTCATTAAACGGTAACAAGTTAGCAAATAACCCAGTAGTGGGTGTAGGGTTATTAAGAAAATCAAGAGGATTAGGAAGAGGCAACGGTAAGCTCAGCAGATCAGGAATACCTGGACGAAGAGATGCTGGACGTGGTTTTCGCTGAAACAAAAAAATTTTATGAATAGAAATCTCATAAGGACAAAACAAAACAACTTTCCACCGAACCAAATGATGTATTTTGACGTCATACCCACGTACTGAATCATTAAAAACATGGTTCTTTGTTTTTAATTTTAATAAACGCAAAATGTATTAACCTTCATATATATACCAAAGGTACTTTAGACTTCACGTTTCAAACTAGTTTCCATTGGCAAATATTAAATAACTTATATTTCTTAATAAACTGAAATAAAAGAAGTGAAATTACAACACTCAATTGCAGAAATTTAAGTTACGAAGGATTATGAAGTTCAATATCAACTTACTGCATTTCGTAGACTGTTTATTTGACCTCCAAAAAGTTCATTTTTAATCTACAGAAAAAAAGTTACCTCAAGTGAAGTTATATGAAAGAAAATCAAGTTTATTAATATGAACACGAAACAAAATAGACGTTAATAAAAAGTAAAACATAAAAAGCTGCACTCATAGCAAAAAAATATTACATCGGACGAAATAAGTGCTCCTTTTGGCTACGCGTACATGAACATTGATTAGCATTTAGGCGACATGATATTTTATCACTGATATCAGTATATTAAGATAATCCTGGGCCAGGGAAACTTCAAGATCCTTAAAGAATTTCTAGGAAAGTGACATGTATATCGATTGTCAATCAGCCACAAGAATAGATATCAACCAATAAAGACAGTCAGCGTGAATATAAAGATAAATGAAGACAATAAAATGTACCAAGACGGTCATTCAAAAATAAGGCCAACAAAATAAGTGGTATAAAACTTATGGAATAACTGAAATGGGCGCTGAAAACGTTTAGGATAATAACAAAATCTCTTTAATTAAACCATCCAGCCACGAAAACACAACACTAAAAATATTCAACCAAGTTGTAGTTCATTTTCGGCCTATACGAACATATGTAGAGGCGTGGATCTTCAATCAAAGCAATTCGCAAGCATATGAAGTTAACTATCACATTTAAAGGATATCAAAGTGTAAATGTCATTATTTATCAAAAGACTTGTAACTAAACACATAAATGTACTCTTTGCTAAGTAGTCAGCCATAACTTACGTAGAATTTAGCACAAATTTTTATTGGTCGAGTTTCTGAATCATAGTGCAATGAGAGGAAGTTAACAAGATACATAACGGAGAAATGATAGTGGTACCAATAATGGTTAGAAAACTAAACTTGGAGGACAGTTCGAAAATGAAATAAATAAGGGAATAAAAAGTCTGGAACAATTTCAAAACTCATGGAGGTCACGATAGAGAAAGTTGTTTGGACCACTGCAACTGAGGTTAAGCCATGTCACCTCAAGTTTTCAACTACTGTATATGATTATTGTCCGGACCCCAACCAAAGTTTACACAGGCTAACCAATACGCTTCATAAACATTAATGGTAATTGACTGTTTATGAAATTGAGAGGACGAAAAGCGAATGTCCGGAGCTTTAACCGTACTGATGGGTTTCGGAGGGTCCACCTGGGAGAGTTGGAAAACCCTTATTCCAAACCAATGGTGCACACGGGCTTCAGTATCCTGAAGGAACAAACAGCGTACGAACCTATAGTCGGCCGCCGGCTACCATGGGACCACATCTCCTAACGTTGCTCTACTCCTTTGTGGATCAGACCTCTAGGTCAAAGGTTCGGGAAGTGTCCCCCTAAGAAAACCACCTGATCCGGTTTGGGCACCCGGACAGTATCCCAACTCACACAAATCTAATGATTTTTGTGGCGGATATATATATATATATATATATATATGTTTCCTTTTTGTACTGATGTTTGTGTTTAGACAAAATAAAAAACAATATATCATATAGTTTAGGTCATTGCAATTAACGAGTCATTAAATTTATGGGGCGAATCAAAGGTTTCTAAGTTGTCCCACGAATTATTCTTACTGAGATCATAAGCAATGAGATTCCTGATTGAAAACACTTAAAACTGACAAGACAGTGTTAGATAATGGGACTTATATTAATATTTACTGTGAAGCACCATATGCCTGTTGAAAACAAGAATAAATTACAGGTCTTTTAAACTCGATTAATTCCATTACGGCCCAAGTAATACAATCACAACAAGGCAGATTGTATAATGAACAAATCAGAATGTATGAATATGACTGGTGGGAATGATACTATGGTATTAGGATGAATGACATAGCCAAGCAATAAAATTCGCAAATTAGTATTAACAGTTAACATAGTGTAAGGATAATGGCGTGAAAACATTACAGAGTAAAGCTGGTTAGAATTAAAAAGCGGTTTTCGACTTTTTTTAACGAAGTTTGGTAATAAATTACATTTGTCGTACATCACATGACAAGCTCCGTATAAATATTGCTGCACAGTATTCGAGGAGTCCAAAGTTGTCGGGAAAAAACCCTTCTTCACCAAAAAGTGGGAGACAGCACAACGGCTAATCAAACAACCCACATCTCCGGAGGTAAATAAGTAACAACAGTTAATAACGTGTAAATAATTAATTTATCGCGATTTCTAAACATGACTTCCATATATTTTACTTTCATCATTCTATCTTGTTTACTGTTCAGCTAATTTGTTAGTGGAGTTTGTGAGTTATAAGGAATATTTTGTGAATCTACTTACGATAACGAAAAAAGTACATGAATAAATGTTTTGTATAGACATAACTCAGGTGTTAGAATCGAAATGATAACAAACCTTAGACAATCACACAGGTTTAGTACCTTTTCTGGCAAAATACTTATGATTTAAGTCGACTCTCCTAATTAGCTGAAAATTGAGTTCTAGTGTAATTATTTTCATCGAAGCTCTTGGCTCCACTACATAGTAATTACACCATGATAACTATCTAACCCCTTTGGCATTTATACCACTATCAGTATCATAAAAATAGGTTCTTGCCAATAAAGGCACGTGCTCTAGAGAAGTGAGGAAACAACAACGGGAATACGTTACTTAAGCATACTTAAGTTAGAATTACATACCGTTCTTATGGGAATGAAGAACGGGACTCGAGGGTTTCGACGTGGATGAGGTACATTCCTCGACCTCAAAACATTTCTAGCGTCACGAAATGTCGAGTTACGTTGACGAGTACGGTTGCGAAGCAACGTCCGTGCATCAGGTGTCCGTACAGTAAGATTAAGCTTGTTTCTGAGATCGTTTCGACCGTTGACTGCTGACGTATTAGTCTTCCCTAGTCGTCTTCTAGGATTCCGATGTATAACATTATTTAGGACACTTACTTTACGGAGACTTGTCTGAGTCGCCTCTCAAACGTAGCGTTCATAGTTAAAATAAAGACGCAATGCACCCAAACAAAAAGATTACCTGTGTTCTTTTGTGGACTTTTTGGAATCTTAGAATCGCGAGTTGTTAAAAACATTTCGTTATATGATAAACTAGTTACATAGTTATAGTGCTATGAGGCTACCGTGTAAAAACAACGAGCATTTCCATCAGATTACTGTCATTTATAGTAGGAAGGACATAACCTGTACTTTTGAATTTAGATCTTCACCAAGGGTTTGACAATTTCCTCAGTGAATTGGTGTGGTCACCGAAATTATATGAGTTGTAGGAATGTTGCCCTTGTTTTACCAATCCTCACTGTTACGCCTGGATTGGATCCTCCATGTTCATCGATGATACTTCTCAGGCACGTGAAAGGTTCCATATCTGTCAGAGCCTCTCCATCAAATATTATTAGGTTGGTTGATGTTCTGCGTTAAATGTTGTTAAATGCCCTTTTTTGTTTTTTCCATTCTTGAATCTTATCCAGGGTTTCCATAGAGATCCATCCCTTATAATGATGCTTATAGCGGACAAGCACCTCCTGAAATGTTGAAGTTAATGTTTCTTTGATACCCTTCTAGTTGTCTTCTATAATAGTTTCTTCTTCTTTCAGTATATCCTGTAAGGTTTGGAACCTGTTGTTGAGAGTTATCTTGAATTCTTCAATTGGTGTTTCGTAGGAGGGCTCTATTGAACATTTATAATGCTGTTTACCCAGCTGTCCAATGTTTCTTTAGCTTCACTTTCATCTTGATCACAACCAGGTGGTTATCAGAAGGTACGTTAGCTCCTCTCCTGGTTCTCACATGTTCCGTCGAGCTCCTGGATTGTTTATTGATACAAATATGATCTATCTGGTTCTCCGTGGTATGGTTCGGTGAGATCCATGTATGAAGCAATTTCCTACAGGTGTAACTCTAAGCTATTCTCTACACTGTCGGGTACAGAGTCTTGGTTTAGCCAAAGTCGGAACAAATAAGCTATTTTGCTTGATAAATTTTATCTGTTTCTAAAACACAAATTAACACCGTTAGTATACGAAATAAACTGTACGGTCTATTGAACAGGGGAAAGAAGAGACATAAATAACATACAGAACAGTAAATAGAGGATAGGAAAAATGAGTCAACAAGGCGAATATTGTTTTATAATGAACATAAAATTGTGATTGGTGAATAAACAAGAAGTAGTCATACAAAGTCAAAGAAAGTTAATGTGGTGGTAGGTGTTTCACTTTATCACTGAAGAGTTCGTTTATTGGTCACACTTTACAATCCATATAGCTTTGTTTATGCGTTTGTGTGAGAATAATATGCCACCTACATCCGAGTTGTTGAATGCACATAGGTTCACAAACCCCTCACAATTTTCGATTCTCTCCGCCAGTCCATGTCGTCCCATGATATTTTTTATCCAATGTTGTCTATTCGAATTTTCGCGTCTAGATATGATCTGATTATCCTGGATCCATGAACCTCTCATCCTATAAGTACATTTCTTGCTTCATTGCACAGCATCAGAGCAAATCCCTGAGTGTGTGGAGCATTTTCCTCTTCGTGACGGGAGTACAGCAACATTCTTCCCAAATCTAGCTTTTTCTATTCAGCCTGGGTTCAATGGGTTTCGCTGATTCCGAATACTGCCAAGTTGTATCTCCTCGTTTCAAAATCTATTTGACTGGTATCTCCGGTCTTCCACATTGTTCGAAAGTTCCATGTACCTATGTCGATTGTTGACCTTGTTGTTAGAAGGTCCATTGGTCTCGCGACTTCCGAAAAATCTTGGCTTTCTCCCCGAGGCGTCATAAATCTTATTTCAACTCGGAGGGCAGATTTTAGGTGGTCTAGTTTGTTTGTTCTGGCCGGCGTTTTTTCAGCAAGGTTGTTTTCTACGGGATGTGGCTGCCGGCCCCATGCGCGACCTTATTCCTTCACCCCGGCTTGGTACTGGAATTAAACCAGGAGGAGCTACGTGCGGAGTTCTTATAAATAATACGCTTCCATAGCTGTTCTGTGCTACATTCGGCTGAAGATGACACGTGTTACCTCAAGTTTATCAGGCTATAAACTCTGCGTTAAGTGATTTCGTGCATCTTCAGGGCATCCGAACGATGTCTGACATGAACAAATTTCGCGATGTATTATCGGAAAGTAACACTAACTAAACAAAGGTAGAGCGTACTGAACCATTAGTAAGTGATCGAGGCAACTCGCATATGGGACGAGTAAATAGCTGCCTGATGGGTAAACAAAGAAACTTTGCAAGGTAGAATTCTCCGAATAAATTGCTCGTCGAGATAAAAAATATTGGTTAACGACCGATTCGTAGAATGAATTAATCCCGGCAAGTAAGAGGTGGCAAGCAGTTTTTCTTTGCAATGATTCTCCATGCCTTTATAATCGACAAAAAATTTCTGACGCAATACTTGGGGCACTGTAATGTTCATCGAAAACGTAAACATAAACAACCCAATTTTCCCAAATCCAGTGGAGCGCTGATTTCTAAAGAAAAGGCCACAGAAATCCCCATTATTTTATCTGAACTTGAATTATTTTGAAAGCCAAACACTATGTTTGTCTATGATTTGCAAAAGTGTATTTATTTCCGCATGTGGAACCACAAATGTTGACATTCTGCGGGATTCAGACCCAAAATTTCTGGAGAATGTCTATAGAATTAATGCTCAAACGAATGACAGTGGGAATAGAAATTCTGTTTTGGACAACTTTCATCAGTGTTAAAGCTTAGTTGTCTACTAGCAACTCCAAACAAAAGTCAGATAAAATCACTTATAATACTACATTCCAAAGTTCACTACATCGGGCGAAGTAAAACAGATATACCGACAAACAAAGTATTTATAAGTAGGGACGAATGGTGGCTAGCAGTCTATTACTCTCATTTCATCAACTTAAAGTTCCCAAATCTAGTCAAATTAGAAGTTGGGAGCGAAGGAGTTCGAAGGTAAATTTGGAAGGTATTCAATACTTCGAGAAGCGTTTGGCCTGAGCTGACTAGTTGTTGTGAAGGATGCGTAGCATGATGTACGCAATCGTGATCTAGTGGGGATGCGTGACTGAGGGTGTGCCTAGTAAGAAGAAAGACGTCAGGATCGATTTCAAAGGCTTACAGTACGGTTTATTTTAAGAATTGATTGACCGTAACACACTCACAAGGTATACGAGGAAATTTGTCTCAATCTAAAAATTAATTTATAGTCGGTAATAGTGATGTACGAGCCAAACAAATTATGGAAAATGTAGATGATGGCAAACTCCGCCTGGAGTCCCTCCGGGGGCTACTACCGGTCCCAAGCCCGGATAAAGGAAGAGGGTTGGGCATGGGGTTAGCGACCCCATCCCGTAGAAAACTAACTCGCTAAAAAACGCTAACCAGAAAAATTACTCAAACCTTTTAAACTCTGCCTTGGGAGTCAGAAGGTCTTCATTTAGAAGAACTATGACGCCTCATGATGAAAGCCGAATTCCTTCGGAAGTTACGACGCCGATGCCCCTTCTGACAACCAGAGCGACCATTTATTTAGGTACATGGAATGTTCGTACAATGTGGGACACCGGGAGAGCCGTCCAAATTGCTGCAGAAATGAGGAGATACGACCTGGAGGTGCTTGAGGTCAGTGAAACACATTGGACGCAGGTTGGACAACAACGACTAACTTCGGTTGAGCTTCTGTTATACTCCGACCATAAGGAAGAAAATGCCCCACATACACAAGGAGTCACATTGATGCTGCCCAAACAAGCACGATATACACTTACAGGATGGAAATCTCATGAACCAAGGATCATCAAAGCCTTCTTCAAAACAAAGAAAGAGGGCATTTCAATGAACATCATCCAATGCTATGCGCCTACCAACGACTACAATGAAGACGCTAAAGATCAATTCTACAATAGGCTGCAGTCAATCGTCGAGAAGTGCCCAACAAAGGACCTGACCATTCTGATGGGAGATTTCAACGCCAAGGTTGGAACGGACAACACTGGATATGAAGACATCATGGGACGACACGGACTGGGAGAAAGAAACGAAAATGGTGAGAGATTTGCAAACCTATGTGCCTTCAATAAACTGGTCATAGGCGGCACCATATTCCCACATAAACGCATACACAAAACCACATGGACTTCACCGGATCACTCTACACAAAACCAAATCGACCATATTTGCATCAACAAAACGTTCAGGAGGACTATAGAGGACGTGAGAACCAAGAGAGGAGCTGATATAGCATCAGATCATCACTTGCTGGTCGCCAAGATGAAATTGAAACTCAAGAAGCACTGGACAACGGGGCGGACAATATCACAAAAGTTCAATACGGCCTTTCTTCAGGATACTAACAAACTCAACAAATTCAAGATAGTCCTCAGCAACAAGTTCCAGGCCTTTCATGATCTACTCAATGGAGAAGGAACTACTGTGGAGAGCAACTGGAAGGGGATCAAAGAGGCAATCACTTCAACATGTCATGAGGTCCTGGGTCACAAGAAGCACCATCACAAGGAATGGATCACTGTTGATACACTGGATAAGATTCAAGAAAGGAGGAACAAGAAGGCAGCAATCAATACCAGTCGAACAAGAGCAGAAAAAGCCAAGGCACAAGCTGAATACACAGAAGTAAACAAACAAGTGAAGAGGAGCATCAGAACCGACAAACGTAAATATGTGGAAGATTTAGCAACGACGGCGGAAAAGGCTGCAAGAGAAGGAAACATGAGACAATTGTATGACACGACAAAGAAACTCTCTGGAAATCGCCGCAAACCAGAACGACCAGTGAAAAGCAAGGAAGGCAAGGTAATCACCAACATTGAAGAGCAACAAAACAGGTGGGTAGAACACTTCAAAGAACTCTTGAATCGACCAGCTCCACTGAACCCACCCAACATCGAAGCAGCACCCACGGACCTCCCAATCAATGTTGGCCCACCAACAATTGAAGAAATCAGCATGGCCATCAGACAAATCAAGAGTGGCAAAGCAGC